CTGCCTCAGCCTCCTGAGTAACTGCGATTACAGGCGTCTGCCACTAAGCCCACCTAATTTTTTGTATTTTTAGTAGAGATGGGATTTCACCATGTTGGCCAGGCTGGTCTCGAACTCCTGACCTCAGGTGAGCCACCCACCTCAGGCTCCCAAAGTGCTGGGATTATAAGAGTGAGCCACCCTGCCCAGCCGGATCAAAGGATATTATATATATCAAGTGAGCAGCATAAATATTAGATGCTAAATTCTGCAAGTCAGTGCTAAACGTATTGGCTCAGGGAAGTTCTTAATAGTTCTCTGAATTTATACTTTCATCTGTGCATCTCTGCTAACTCTTCTCATGCCCCTGGGGGGCTAAACAGTGTCATCATTTTATAGAAAAGAAGAAAAGGGACTTGCATAGGTTCTCAGTGCTGATTACACCAAAAACTACTATATTTTAGAAGCCAGAACTCCCAGGTTCTATATGCCAGGCTCGGCTGACCTTACTAAACTGAAAGGAAAATAAAAGGGAATTTTAATTCTTACACAAAGGACTCACACATTGTATGACCCCATTTATATGAAATGTCCCAAATAGGTCAATACATAGAGACAGCAAGTAGACCTGTAGCTGTCTAGGCTGCGGAGCCTAGGGGGAAATGGGAGATGACTATAAATGGGTATAGGATTTATTTTTAAAGTAATGGAAATATGCTAAAATGGATTGTGGTGACGGTTACACAACTCATGAATACAGTAAACAAAAATTAAATGCATGAATTGTATCTCAATAAAACTGTTATTTAAAAAAGAAAAATGAAAAAGAAAAGTAAACAAGGAGAGCCAGAATGAGGGGCTAGGCCTGAGTCAATGAACATTCCTTCAACTCCAAAAAATATATTTGATGGTCAAACTTGTCTGAACAATGAGTACTATTCTTAGAGATAATTGTGTTTAATGTTATAAATGACAGTACACTAAGCAATTCCACAGTGATCAGAATTATAGCACAATCCTTCCACTATTAAGGATTTTATGTAAACTAAAAAACCAAAAAACAAACAAACTTGTCTCAAGTCTGGGACTATCCTGAAGCCTTTCTGGACCTCAGATAGAAAAAGAGAAAGCTTAAACTCATGATGTAACATTTCTACCCTTTACCAGGGGTTCAATTAGCCACTTTCTTCAACTCCCAACCAAGGAAAAGGTGAAGTTAACAGGATGATCTCTGTGAGGTAGCTAATCTATACCAGCCAGGAAAAAACATATATGGGTGGGCCCTCTTTGCAGGTCAAGACATTTTATCTCCACCCGTTATACATTATCTTGAGAGTCCATTCACTTCAGAGTAATTCTCAAAAACATGTTTACTTAATAGACCAGATCACTCCCGCCCCAACCCGTTGGCTCTCTTGTCCATATGCAACAATAGGGCGGGTGGTGGGGGAAGAAGTAAATTTGAGAATTAACAATCTCATCAAATTAACCAAAGGAAGATGTGGTTTTTACTGATTGTCACAGTTGTTTAAATATGTTTAACTTCTTTAGAAAGAAGTTTTAACTTCTTTCTAAAGTTTAACTGTGGCCCCAAGGGACTAATGTCTTCCAGATCTGGTGGAGCCAGTCCTTGATGGTCTCAGTAAGCTCCAGTTTCAGGCTGAATGGAAACACTGTGGTTAAAGCTGCAGTCAGTCTGTCATCACCCAGACTCTGCCAGCATCTGTCACCATAAACGTTAAAACTGGTGACCTACGGGCTAAACACTATTTAAGAAAATCTATCTGAATATGGCAGGGAATGGAAAAAAACCACACATTTCACCAAGCTGTTTCACATTAAGACCTTATAAAACACTTTGTGGATCCATAAGCCACTTCAAGTATCTGAACAAAGGTATGACCCTCTGTTTATCCAGTATACACACACGTTCACATCCACACAATTCTGCATATTATTTTAGTGACATAGAACCTACTAAATCCCAGTGCACAGATTTCAGACCATAAACATCTATTATAAAAGGAGCATCAAAGATAGATAAATGTTTCTTTGTATGTGATTAACACAGTTGGTAGGAAAGAACCACAACTTGGTGGTCAAGCTGCTTAATGTTTATCAAGTTCAGCATAATGGAAAAAAATCACATTTTAATTCCTGTGCCCTCACTTAATAGTCATGTAACTTTAAAGACATCATTTAAAATCTGGCTTCATAATTATAAATTATTATGCAAATTATTATGTAAATCCTCACACAATCAAGTTATGAGATCATGTGAAATGCAGCTCCAAGTGCCTGGCCGGCTATAAAATGCTCCAGAAAGGCTTGGCCACTGAAGGACAGACACAAAATAGCAAAATCATAGGCTTACGCATTCTTTCAAGTCCTTCCCAAGGATAAAGATTATTGTATAATTATCACTGATAACAGAAGCTAATATTTATTGAGGGCTTGCTATGTGCTGAAGATTTTACATGCATTAGCCTCACGTCAGCTTTAGGAGTTGGGGTTAATTATGGCACCTATCTTATAGAAGAGGAAACCAATTTAGAGACGTTAAAATGCTTGTTCAAGGTTACACAGCAGGGAAAAGGCAGAGTCAGGATCTGTATTCTGCAGTCTGAATCCAAAGCAAATCCAAAACTCTGAGGCGCTACGCTCTGCTACCTGCTGATGGCTGTGCTGGGGGATGCTCAACCACCAGATGTCTTACTTGGGAACTGCACTGGAGGTCGAGGGTCTGCATTCTCCTTCTGTCGTAAAATCACAACGTCCCCATCTTTCAAGCCATAAGAAGCCAATGATCTGTGGTTGTCTGTGAGAGGTCTTTCAGCATAGACGATCTACAACAAGAAAAGATACACAACAGTATAATGCACTGAGAAGTAACAGAGCACAAAGCAGAAGGACCAGTTTTCCTCTGAATCAGATGTCACACTCCGTTCAAACCCTCCAGTGGATTCCCACCACATCCAGAACAAAACCCACAGTCCTTCCCGTCACCGATCAGGACCAAACAATTTGGCCCCTGGCTCTCCTTCTGACTTCGTCTTTCACTATGACTGCTGTTCCTCAAATAACAGGGATCAACTTCCCCTTCAGGGCTGTTTCTCTTGTTTTCTCTACCTGAGGAATGTTCTTTTTCAACTCCTTTTTTTCCTTTTACGTCTCTGATCAAACATTACTCTTTAGAGTTCTTCCCTAATATGTTATTTAAAATATACTCTCGACTAACACAATATATATTTACTTATTTATTGTCCTTCTGCCCCATTAAATGTAAACTACTTGAGGACAAGGACTTTGTTTCATTCACCAGATCATAAATGCTTAGAACAGGGCCTGTTATATAACTGATGCTCAAATATTTGATGAACTAAAGAATGAATTTACGAAAATGGATATAATTTTAGATTTAATTTTTAGCAGGGAGGAAAAGGGAATGATTTATTCTGGGTATGCTAACTAACTACAGTACTACTAAATAAAGTGTACACTTTGAAATAATCTTGTACACTGGCAAAAGGTTCCCAAACATCATCCTTCCTGCACTGCATTCTTCCTTCTCTTCTACCATTCCCAAAGTTGTATCACTCTGGGCTGGGCACGATGGCTCACGCCTGTAATCCCAGCACTTTGGGAGGCCAAGGCAGGTGGATCACGAGGTCAGGGATTCGAGACCAGCCTGGCCAACATGGTGAAACTCTGTTTCTACGAAAAATACACAAACTAGCCAGGTGTGGTGGCACGCACCTGTAATCCCAGCTACTCCAGAGGCTGAGACAGGAGAATTGCTTAAACCCGGGAGGCAAAGGTTGCAGTGCTGAGATCGCACCACTGCACTCTAGTCTGGGCAAGCAAGACTCCGTCTTGGTGGCGGGGCGGGGCGGGGCGGGGGGCAAGACTGGAAAATAAAGTGAAACTAAGAAAATAACAACTAAATACAAGTGGAAAAAAAGAATTAGGAATGTACTACTAATAAAAATATTTTATGATGTGTAATCATACTGAAGAAAACCTGAGAGCACAAACAGATGAAATAACGTACTATAGATAGAAAGAACAAAGGTACCCTATAATTTTATTACAAAAAAACATAAAATCTGCCCTGCATTATTACATACTCCAGAAAGGCATTCAGAATAAACTCAGGCTTTGAAAGGTTTTCCTCCTAATGATTCACTTTTCACCAGGCCACATGCAAACTGAGGAACCTGAGTTCTACCCTGACTCTGCCAGTAACTCCATACAAGGGGCATGACACTCAGCAGGTCCAGGCCTCACCCTTTCCATGTGTCAAGCAAGCAGGTGGGCTAGATCATCATTACAGCTGTCCCTTCCAGTTCTCTCTGCTAACATTATCATTCTATGTTTCCTTACAGCTTTCATAGTAAGGTTACCTGAAATAAAAACTGAAAACACAGCATTTAAACTGGAAAAAAAGTGATTCTGTCATATCTGCTCTCAGAATTTATAGACATGAGGAATAGAACACGAAAATGAGTTCCTACCAAAATCGAATTCTGAATATGAGCAAATTTGTAGGCCCAATTATACAAGTTTTATGCATGACTTGAAAAAATACTATTAAGTTCTTTTTTTTTTTTTTTTTTGAGATGGAGTCACGGTCTGCCGCCCAGGCTGGAGTGCAGTGGCCGGATCTCAGCTCACTGCAAGCTCCGCCTCCCAGGTTTACGCCATTCTCCTGCCTCAGCCTCCCGACTAGCTGGGACTACAGGCGCCCGCCACCTCGCCCAGCTAGCTTTTGTATTTTTTTTTTAGTACAGACGGCACCGTGTTAGCCAGGATGGTCTCGATCTCCTGACCTTGTGATCCGCCCATCTTGGTCTCCCAAAGTGCTGGGATTACAGGCTTGAGCCACCGCGCCTGGCCACTATTAAGTTCTTAATGCCCAATCCGCTGAGTTAAAAAACATTTCAGATCTGGTATGATGGCTCACACCTGTAATCCTAGCACTTGGGGAGGCTGAGGCGGGAGCATCGCTTAACCCATTTAGGCCAGAGGTTGCAGATTTTTTGTGTGTGAAAAAATCATACCTTGGCAATGACCTTGAGCGGTAAGATATAACTCGCACAAGCTGGGTTAAGCCCTGGAGTTTGAGATCAGCCTGGGCAACATAGTGAGAATCCATATCTAAAAAAATTTTTTAAATGGCCAGCCATGGTAGCATGTGACTGTAGTCCCAGCTACTTAGGAGTCTGAGGCAGGAGGATTGCTTAAGCCCAGGAGGTCCAGGCTGTAGTGAGCTGCGGTTGTACCACTGCACTCCAGCCTGGGGACAGAGTAAGACCCTGCCTCTTAAAAAACAAAAACAAACAAACAAAAAGAACCACATTTCAACAGACTGCAACCGTCACTCCCATCATCCCATTCACACACCCTTATTTAAGCACATATTTCACAGTAAAAGTACATCAGCATCAACACAGATTTTCTGCAAAACAACTGGGAGTCATATTACAACTTGTGAGACTGCTTGGAAAAACACATAAACCAGAAGTGATAAGCATCACAGGTTGAGGTGTGCAACAAGAAAAAAGAGGTATGCCAAGAGAAATGGCAGGTAGACAGGCTCCTACAGCATAGCATCAACACTGTGAAGCCACTGTCAACAGCTTACTCTTTAATTTTCCAGTTTCAGAAATTTAACTATCAGTATATTCAGAGATACATGAACAGTCTCCTGGGAGCAGAGGCACATTCTAACTGCATTTATTTATTTATTTATTGAGACGGAGTCTCGCTCTGTCGCCCCAGGTGGAGTGCAGTGGCGGGATCTCGGCTCACTGCAAGCTCTGCCTCCCGGGTTCACGCCATTCTCCTGCCTCGGCCTCCTGAGTAGCTGGGACTACAGGCTCCTGCCACCATGCCCAGCTTTTTTTTTTTTTGGTATTTTTAGTAGAGACAGGGTTTCGCCGTGTTAGCCAGCATGGTTTCAATCTCCCGACTTTGTGATCCGCCCGTCTCTGCCCCCTAAAGTGCTGGGATTACAGAGTGAGCCAACGCGCCCGGTCATTAACTGTATTTATAAACGAAAATTTATTTATTTGCAAGGAGGAATCAAACTCAGGAGAATCAAAATGATCCTATGCAGGCTGGGTGCCGTGGCTCACGCCTGTAATACCAACACTTTGGGAGGATGAGGTAGGAAGATTGTTTGAGGCCAGGAATGCAAAGCCAGACTGGGCAACACAACAAGACCCCACCTCTAAAATAATAATAATAATAATAATTAGCTGGCATGGTAGCATATGCCTGTAGTCTCAACTATTTGGGAGACTGAAGCAGGAGGATCACCTGAGCCCAGGAGTTCACGGTTGCAGTGAGCTATGATTGTACCACGGCACTCCAGCCTGGGAAACAGAATAAGATCTTGTCTCTTAAAATAAAAAAAAGAAGAAGAAGAAAACTGCAATTGGAAAAACTGTCGGATTTCAAAGCCCATACTCAAGTATTATATACAGCTTTCCCAAACATAACCCTGAAGTGGCCTGGTGAATTATGTGGGTGACTTTAACAAGCACTACTAAGCCATCCATTGCCACAAAGAGACTCTATCCACCAGGAGGATTAAAATACTGTCCACTGCTCAACACATCCCCATGCCCTGAACATGAGGAAACACCACCAACTGCCCGCTCTGACTCCCACTTCACAGATGCCATACTTCATTCCATCACTGCTTAGTTGCCACAGTATTTCCTCAGCAGACAATATCATTTTTTAAAGGAAGGCAGCATGATCTAACAAATAAAAATGTAAAATCTAGATAATCACCACACTGAGCATGTCTATGAAATATGGAATGTTGCTCCAGCGCCAATTTCCTGGAAACACTAGACTGAAGAACCTGGGTGAGAAGCACGCGTTCCTCACACTGACGAAGCAGCAGCTGTGCTCCGTTTTAGTCTAAGGACATAAATGAGATCAACTAAAGCTCAGCTAAAATTGTAATTGCCACAAAGAACTGATTTCATTTTGTTTAAACAGGCTTAAGAGTCCAAGACAGACAATTATTTTGCAGCAAAAGTCCCAAAATAAATCCATGTGATCTTCCAACGGAACATGAGTATCTATTAGACATGGCTTCAAATCTCTACCAATCAAAACAAAAGGCGTTCCACGGCAGCATTCTCGATCCTTCCACCACGCATGTTACCCAACTCAACAGCTACAAAGCCCAAAATTCAAGTTTTGCCAGTTATAAGAACATACAACAAGAAAATGTATACAGCTATGAGTCTTAATCAGCAAAACTGGCGCAACTGCTGGTACTTACTCCAGAGGAGGCACCCCAGAGACTGAATTATAATCTTAATCAACATTTGACAACAGACTAATTAATAAAACTCCAGAACTTTTAAGCATGAGGTCAGGTGTTTTCTGGTCTCTGAATGAGAGCCTTCTGTTAACAAAAAGCTTAACAATTTCTAGCATTAAAGAACATAAACTGGTAGGCCAGGTGCAGTGGCTCACACCTGTAATCCCAACACTTTAGGAGGCCGAGGCGGGAGGACTGCTTGAGGTTAGGAGTTCAAGGCCAGCACTGGCAAGATCTCGTCTCAAAAAAAAAAAAAAAAAAAAGTCTCAGCTACTTGGGAGGATCCCTTGATCCCAACATGTTGAGGATACAGTGAGTTGTGATTGCAACACTGCATTCCAGCCCAAGTGAGAGCGAGATCCCATCTCTAAAAAATAAAGAATAAAGATAAAACAAGGACCATAAACTGGCTACAAAACACTTGGAATTACATCTGAATGGCTTCATAATAGCATTGCCATTAATCAAATGCCCACTATCTACCAAGTGATCTACATATTCTACTCCATGTAATAGCCAATTTGACTTGTATAACCCTCTCTGGAAGGCAATTCGGCAACAGTTACTAAAAACCTTTCAAAGACTTTATGTCTTTGATCTGGCAACTGCATATCTAAGAATTTATCCTGAGAAAATAACAGAAATGGAGGCTACAGCCTTAAGTATATGGATGTTCATGCCATGTTACTTATAACTGCTTCCAATTTTCCCCAGTATTATGCTTAATAAAAGGGAGATTGTTAAATAAATTACAATACATCTATATGATGGTATACTATGTACCCTTTAAAATCATCAATTTGGGGCCAGTTGCGGGGGCTCAAGCCTGTAATCCCAGCACTTTGGGAGGACAAGGCAGGCGGATCATCTGAGGTCAGGAGTTTGAGACCAGCCTGGCCAACATAGTGAAACCCCATCTCCAAAGAAAATTAAAAAATCAGTCAGATGTGGTGGAGTACACCTGTAGTCCCAGCTACTTGGGAGGCTGAGGTGGCAGGATCACTTGAGCCCAGGAGGTTGAGGCTACAGTGACCCGTGATCGTACTACTGCCTAGGTGACAGAGCGAGACTGTCTCAAAACAAAAAAACAAACACATATAAGATAAAACAGTGGTTTACAAACCACAAATCATGCTGTGTGCATTTTCAAGATCATACAATTACTGCTATTATTTGCCTTTCATTTGAGGGTCCTTATACATTGTGCCTACTTTTTCCATGTGCCACCTACAGAGGTAAATTATCAGGATGCTTCAAAAATATGAGGACATTAATTTAAAGTGAAGCTAAGTTCTGACAAGCGTTTGAAGTTCACCCAGGCAAGTCTGCATCAAAGCATCAAACAGAGCCACGACTGGCTTCCAAGCCCACACTATTAAGAGACGGAACATGCCCAGCTTTAATCACACGTACAAGTAGAGATGGCTTCTGTTCTAAATTTGTTATCACTGAATTATAACTACTATAATCAGACTAGAGCTGTTAAAAATTAGCACCTTTTCCAACTGTATGCTTATGCACAATTGACACTCAGGTGAAAGACTGAATTCTAAACCAGTGATCACCAATGTAGGGCAGCCATGCAAGACAATTCTTTAAGGGTGGAGGAAGAAACTGAAAATATTAGAATTTTCATTTCCATTTATTTTAGTTCGTCCTTCCTTAAATTCCATTTTGTGTGTGTACAATGTTACTTCTTATATATAATGTACTATATATGCATATAATGCACGTTATGTGTATATTATACATGGTCATATATAATGCATAAAATGTATCAGTTCATGTATATAATGTATATACATAACAGGAGCATAATCTGAAACATTTTACTGATAGGGATACATGAATGAAAGTTTGGACACCAGTTGTCTGGACACATAGTGGCAGGAAAAAATAGCCAGGAACATAAATTTTCCTTGAAGGAAATATATATTTTTCCTTGAAGAAATGGAGTCAGAAATGAGAGGTGAAGGAATGGGAATGGAGAAAGTAAACAAGAGGAGGAGTTAAACAGTCAAGGAAAGGAAGGGAAGATGAGTAATATGAGAGAACCCTGGGAGGTAATGGGGGGGCACACAAGTAAGTAAACATGGTATATTTGTGGGTAAAAACTATAATGATGTTTACTTTTACGATTTGATGAAAGGAAATGACTCAAGTGTCTAGGGTGGATCCTGTTCCTGCCTGATGGGCAAGCAAGTGAAAGACAACCGACCACCAGACACCTTAAAATAGATACTGTGTTGTCAGGTTACAATGGAGCCAACAGAACAGACTGGAAAAACAGGAGCTGTTTATGGCTATCTAACACAGGCTTAACACCCGTTGGAGCCCAAGTTTCTATATGCTAATTTGGCTTGGGAAGGAAGTAAATGCCGAAACACTGAGGTAATGAACAAGAAATAATTTGGAGTTAGCCTATGTTCAATTACTAAGGTATTCCTAACTTTCCCGACTGGCAGAGGGCAATGCCTGGCTGACCACACAATAAATCGTCTTTTGTGATGGCTGTTAACAAGAAATTTAAGTCAATTAAAGGGGGTGTCAGATATCCCTTTAATTGACTTAAATTTCTTGGTTCAGCCATCACAAAAAGTGCAGGAATGGAAACAATCTCAACCTCTGTCTTTTCTCAGGCCCTAACTAACAACAAAACCAATTTACATTTTAATTTCTTATTTTCCCTACCAGCCGGTGACTACAACGAGGGTAATATAACAACTCGAGGAAAAAAACAACTGAAAAAGCCACTATCAAAAATGAAAAGTTGTCCGGACGCGATGGCTCACGCCTATAATTCCAGCATTTTGGGAGGCCAAGGAGGGCGGATCACTTGAGGTCAGGAGTTGGAGATCAGCCTGGCCAACACGGTGAAACCCCGTCTCTACTAAAAAAAAAAAAAAAAAAAAAAAATTAGCCGGGCGTGGTGGCGCGCGCCTGCAATCCCAGCTACTCAGGAAGCTGAGGCAGGAGAATCGCTTGAATCTGGGAGGCAGGGGTTGCAGTGAGCTAAGACCGCACCACTGCACTCCAGCATGGACGACAGAGCGAGACTCCGTCTCAACAAAAAAGAAAAAGAAGGAAAAAAAAATTGAAGAGTTGATTTTCTCTATTTAAGCAGTCCTTTCCCAGTTCCCAGTTCTCCACATGAGGCATTCACTGACAGGAACTGGTTCCTGAGCTTTTGTGGATTAACTTTTGAAATTCTTTCTGAACAGCTTTATGCCAAGGTTCTAAAGTTCACATTGTGTAAAGGAATCATACTTCTGAACAAAATATTGACACATGTGTTTACCATAACACAGCAAAACAAGCTGTAGTTGGGCAATCGTTTTGTAAACTATTTCATAACTGCAGTAGAAAATCAAGATTTACATGATGGAGCCTTGGGAGACTTCTGTAATTTTCCTAATGTTTAGACTACGTCCTCTAGGCTAAATTTATTAAGTCATGATCTAAGTGTTTTAGTGTAAAGTTTACAGGGTTATTGTCACCGATTCTGTTTGATAAAGACTAGGGGCAGCCCCAAAGCATTTTGAGAATTACTTTGCTTAGTTAAAATATGAGAGGTTGAACAACTTTCCAGCAAGCTGAGTAGGGAAATGAAACCACCAAACAGCAGATATTAGGCCGTTTCCAAGCACATATCCTTTTAAAGCATTGAGCTTTGAACTGACCCAAACTCTGAACTGTGGCCTGAAAGAAAAAGGGCCCTCTGGCTTACTACCAGGGTAGAACCGAAAGAAACAAACAGCTTGAGTTGAACCAACAGGTACTGTTTTTCAAAAGAATTTAACCAGAAACGCATGTAGTGGGTAAAGAGCACTTCCAAAGACCCCAAAACGAGGTAGTGCAAGTCTTAACTTTTTCTTTCACCGGAAGTGCAAATCTGTGCATTTAAACTGCGTATATTTAAGCAGAAACCCTCTCCAAAAAAAAAAAAGAGAGAGAAGCAGAGGAACATCTACCAACCACAGTGATCCAAACTGGTATTTCTGGTTTGCAGGACGCATGAACCCTAGCAAACCCAGGGCTGCTTCTGAGGTCCACAACGCTATCCTACACTCGGGATCAGAAAAAGGGCCAAAGAGCCAAAGGTGAGGAGGGTTAGCGCTGCTCTACAGTCCACGCGCCCCTCACGCTGCAGTGGGTGCGTCTGCGGTCAGGTTCTCCGCTCCCTCTCCTCGTACCCCACCCCACGCTCGGGGTGTGTGAGGGCAGCTACCGATGCCAGCTCCCCAGCTCCTTCCCGGATGCGGGGGTGACCTGAGAATGGCTATCCCTGCTCACCCCAGCCCCCAATTCTTCACCAGTAGCAAAGGGAGTGCGGCCCCGAGGCGGGGAGGGCTTAGCTCCGGGGCAGGCCCGGCTCGCTGCCCGGCGTACCTGGCTCTCGGCTGCGGGGATGCCAGACTCGAGCTCGCACAGCGCGCGGAAGTTGTGCAGCTCGAAGTCGGCGTCGACCTGGAGGGAAAAGGTCACCTCGGAGAGGTCCCTCCGCACACAGTACACGGTGAGCAGCATGGCCCGGGCCCGACCCGGCTCGGCCCGGCCTGGGCGCGGGGCGCAGGGGAAGAGGCGGCGGCGTGGCCTGGCTGGTGCTGCGGAAGGCCGGCGCGGGCTGCTCGCTCGCTCGCTCCCTCCCTCACACACGCTCAGTGAGTCACTCCCGCCCGCCCTCACTAGCAAGCACGGCCGCCGCCACCCGCCTGCGAGTCCGTCTGCCTGCCCGCCTGCCTCCCACGGCTGCCGCCAAGCGCGCCGCCTGCCCGTCGCCCCGCCCCGCCGCAACTCGGCTGCCGTAAAGCCCGCCTCGCCTTCCCCGCCTTCGCGACGCAGCGGGGGGCGGGGACTGGAAGGGGAGGAGGAAGCCTGGAGAAGATAGGAAGGGGAGGAGTGGGAAGGGGGCGTGGGAGGGGAGAGGGAGGAAGGGCGAGAAAGGGGAGGGAAGGAAAGGAACGCGGAGAAGGAAATCTCTGCTGACTGGTTGACTTAATGACTGAGGTCTGTGGAGGAGTCCCCAGTCTTATTTGTTCACCGAACAGGCATTAAGTGCCTACCATGTGTCGGGCGCCGGCGACGCAGAAATGAATAAAAAGATAAATCCTTCTCGGGCGCCGGCGACGCAGAAATGAATAAAAAGATAAATCCTTCTCCGTAACTCTCAATCTAGTACAGGAGTTAGTAATAAAAACGTATTTTTCGTGGTAGAAATTGAGGCTCCGAGAGAGTAATTCACTTCCTGTCTCAGTGATTTAGGATTAAAACCAAAATCATTACCCTCCCTAGTCTATAGAAGCCAGTTGGCTGTGGCCCACGCCTACCTCCCCAGCCCCTTCTCCCGAGCTCTTCCCACATTCTCTGCCCTCCCAGCCACATAGCTCAGTTCCTACAAGGCTCCATTCCCCTGTCTTGTAAATAGTTTTCTCTCTACTTGGACTGTCTGTTTCCTAGCCCTAGCAACCCCTACCACCTAGCGCAGTGCCTTTTTGGGCACAGCTTAGAATCTGCTCAATAAATATTTGCTACTTTAATGGCCTGTTTAAGGCACATAGCTGATGAGTGATAGAGACCCAGAACTAACGTGCGGATGAGTAAGAAAACCAAAATTGAAAGATGAATTTGTAATGGATGCCAGATTAGCATCTTTCCATTTACTCCCACTCCCCCGTCCATGTAGGGAGCCCTTTTCCATTTTAACAGGAGAGAAGGAGCAAATAAGATGGCTGTGGGTGCAGGTAAGTAGGTAGTAAGTAGGCTGTTGGTGCAGGAAAGGGAGAATTAGCAGCTGAAGGCTTTTACGAAGAGAAAGTAGAGGAACAGGGTAGTGAGAATGCTCATATCCCCTACGAGCAACAGAAAGCTTGACTATCAGTGGCTTAAACAAACAAGGGTTTATTTTCTCACAGGAGAGAAGCCCTGGAGGTAGCAACAGCATTGGTTGAGTGGCTCACGGAAATTAGGGTCAATACCTCTGTAATTGTTTTGACCGTTTCCTGAGGGTTGCAATATATGGCTGGCTGCCTCCACGCCATGCATCATTTTCCTATTCGAGGAAAAAGGTTGCCCAGAAGTCCCTGTGCACATTTTTGCTTACATCTCACTGGACAGAATTGTGTCACATAGATGCGTAGAGGCTAGGAAAGCAAGTCTTTAGCTTTGCCTAAAGGACATAAATAGGGAAAAGGGAGGCTGGGAATGGGTATTAGGAAAGACATACACAGTGCCTTCTACAGTGAATGTTTGAAATAACCATTGCAAATTGAAGTAAGTTTAGCCGAGAAATGTTCTAGGATTGTCCAGTGGGGGTATCAAGGAATCAGATGAGGCTGGACTCATTGGTTAATTGTTATATTTGGTCTAGTGGTGCTCAGGTTCCCAGGTCTGGCAGATTTTGTTCTCCAAAGATGATCATGACAGTGTCTCCCATCCTATATGCTCTTCCTACAATGTGATTGTGACAACCCTCCCATTAAGAAGTGGGGTGTATGTCCCTCCCTTCGAATCATGGCTCCGCAGACTAACTCTGGCATAAGTGACATTATGTGATTTCCTTTTTTTTCCCAAGGCAGAGTCTTGGTCTGTCACCCAGGCTGGAGTGCAGTGGCACGATCATGGCTCACTGCAGCTTCAACCTCCAGGGCTCGAGGCTCAAGCGATCCCTCCAGCTCAACCTCCCTAGCAGCTGGAACTACAGGTGTGCACCACCACACACAGCTAATTTCTTTTTAGTAGAGATGAGGTCTTGCTATGTTGCCCAGGCTTGATTTCCTTTTTATTATAATTTTAGATTATTTTTAATTAAAAAAAAAAATAGTGATGAGGCCTTGCTATGTTGACCAGGCTAATCTCCAAATCCTGGCCTCAAGTGATCCTCCCACCTTGGCCTTCCGAACTGCTAGGATTACAGATGTGAGCCATCGCACCCAGCCACTTTGTGTGATTTCTAAGGCTAGGTCTTGCCTGTGTCCACCTGGGGTCAGCAGTTCTCACCCAGCATCCAGAAATATATGCCAGACACCAATGGAGGGGACAGAGCAATGGTGGACAGGCTCAAGGTGGGGCTGCTGCTTCTGGCACTGCTCCTACTCATGCAGATTTATTCAAATCAAACTATTGTAACGCTTTCAAGTAACTCCTCCCAGGGTACCTTGTCTGCCCCAAGCCCAGCTAATGCCACCACCAAGGCAGTTGGCAGTGCCCTGCAGTCAATTGCCAGTCTCCTCATGGTCTTGCTTTCTCTTCTATATTTCTACTGTTAAGAAACATCTGCCGGGCGCGGTGGCTCACACCTGTAATCCCAGCACTTTGGGAGGCCAAGGCGGGCGGAGATCAAGACCATCCTGGCTAACATGGTGAAACCCTGTCTCCACTAAAAATCAAAAAAAAACTTTAGCCGGGCATGGTGGCGGGCGCCTGTAGTCCCAGCTACTCGGGAGGCTGAGGCAGGAGAATCACTTGAACCTGGGAGGTGGAGGTTGCAGTGAGCTGAGATTGCTCCACTGCACTCCAGCCTGGGTAACAAGAGCAAAACTCTGTGAAAGAAAAGAGGAGGGGAGGGGAGGGGAGGGGAAAGAGAAAAGAGAAAGAAAGAGTTGAGAACCTCAAATTTAATTGGTTTGAAGAACACATGAAGGGTTTGACTAGATGATGGATGCCAATATTAAATCTGCTTAAATGTCATGTACAAGATGAAGAGAGGCAACATCCAAAATTGAAGACATTATTTCCTTGAATATGGCTTAAGAAATGTGGACACCATGGAATACTATGCAGCCATAAAAAAGGATGAGTTTGTGTCCTTTGTAGGGACATGGATGCAGCTGGAAACCATCATTCTTAGCAAACTATCACAAGAACAGAAAACCAAACACCGCATGTTCTCACTCATAGGTGGGAACTGAACAATGAGATCACCTGGACTTGGGAAGGGGGACATCACACACCGGGGCCTATCATGGGGAGGGGGGAGGGGGGAGGGATTGCATTGGGAGTTATACCTGATGTAAATGACGAGTTGTTGGGTGCTGACGAGTTGATGGGTGCAGCACAGCAACATGGCACAAGTATACATATGTAACAAACCTGCACGTTATGCACATGTACCCTAGAACTTAAAGTATAATAATAATAATAATAAAATTTAAAAAAATAGAAATAGGGGTCTTTCTATGTTCCCAAGCTGTTCTTGAATTTCTAGGCTCAAGCAATCCTCTTACCTCATCTCCTAACGTGCTGGGATTACAGATATGAGCCATCATGCCCTGTTTGAAATACATTTTGTTATGTCAGTATTTTTAGATAGGTAGAACCTAGTCCTAAACTATAAGGTAGGCTTGATTCTATAATAAAATTTTTTACAACTGTCTCGACACACAGAAACCTTTTTAAAAATAGACACTCCCTGAAGTCTTTTGTTCACAAGGTCACACACTGATGCTTAGGTGTTCCAGTATCTAATATGGCCACGGTAGTCTTGAAACATCTTTAGAAACCTACACGGGAACAGCTAGGTGCGGTGGCTCACGCCTGTAATCCCAGCATCTTTGGGAGGCCAAGGCAGGTGGATCATGAGGTCAGGAGATCGAGACCATCCTGGCTAACACGGTGAAACCCCATCTCTACTAAAAATACAAAAAATTAGCTGGGCTTAGTGGTGGGCGCCTGTAGTCCCAGCTACTCAGGAGGCTGAGGCAGGAGAATGGTGTGAACCCGGGAGGCGGAGCTTGCAGTAAGCCAAGACTGCGCCACTGTATTCCAGCCTGGGCGAGAGTGAGACTCTGTCTCAAAAACAAGAACAAAAACAAACAAACAAACAAAAAACCTACACAGGAACAACAGAACAGCAGATGGAACAGACCTGAAGCCACTGTGCGTGTGAATGAACACTCCTTTTTGCTTCATGCCGAAATGCTGTACATTTATTTTGGATTGTATATTTGTGTGTTTATGCTTTGATTCATAGTAACTTGTTATGAAATTGATTTGTATTGAATACAAACTGCAAATAAAAATAAATCAGGTCGGGCGCGGTGGCTCACGCCTGTAATCACGAGCACTTTGGTGGATGACCCGAGGTCAGGAGTTCAAGACCAGCCTGGCCAACATGGCGAGACACTATCTCTACTAAAAATACAAAAATTAGCTGGGTGTGGTGGCGGGTGCCTGTAATCCCAGCTACCTGGCAGGCTGAGTCAGGAGAATCGCTTGAACCAGGGAGGCGGAGGTTGCGGTGAGCTGAGATCGTGCCATTGCACTCCAGCCTGGGCAACAAGAGCAAACCTCCGTCTCAAAATAAATAAATAAATAAAATAAATCAATGGTTGGAAAAAAAGTCAATACAGTTTCTCTGGGATTCTCCTGGAACGCTTGCTCTTGGAACCCAGCAGCCATGCTGGGAGGAAGCCCAAACTACACCACACGGTGAGACCACATGGAGAAAATATGTGTGGTTGTTCCAGAAAGCTGCTCGGCTGAGGGGAAAGCTGATGAGTGGGAAAACCCACCAAACTTTCAGATGACTTCAACCCCCAGATGTTGAATCATCTCCAACTTATGAGTCTATCCAGATGAGGCTTGAGACATCATGGAGCCATCTCCACTGTACTCCCTTTGAATTTCTGACCTACAGAAATCTACAAGCATAATAAAATAAAAATACAAAGTAAAACCAAAATGAGATACCACTTTATGCTCACTAGGATGGCTATAATAAAA